CCCCCCCCCCGTCCTTTTAATATTGGGGTCCCCCCTTGGAATATGCGGGGAATGGCAAATTTTTGACATCTGCCTGTGCTTGCGAGGCAGCGGTATTGTTTAGTTCTGGAAACGAACGTGTCAAGCCCCCAGAATGAACCCATCGGACATCGCTTTTAAAATCCTAGATGAACTTGTCGTATGTTATTTGAATGGAATGTGTTTTATCCTAATACCCATGATACAGTGGGGATGTTGCATCCAGATTAGGGCAAGGAGAGCAAAAAACTCGACAAATCCGTCTGTTATAGTGCAGAAATACAGCTGTGTAAATGAAGGTACTCTAGCTTCTTAGCCCCCGGGCGAAGAGGATTTCATGTGAAAACAAATCTCAAGGGGCACTAAGGATCGATACCAGGGAAAGCCAATGATAAGTGCATTTTAAAATGCATGTACAGCTTTTGTGACATCATAGTACGCTGGACAAAGCTGTTCTGGATTGACGTTTTACAACAAAAAATTAAAACAAACAAAGTGACCCAAATACCCAAATACCCAAATTTTGTGATTTTCTTAAACTTTACTAAATTCCACACATAGAAACTTATTTTTATATTTATCACGCAAGAAAGCCTTGCGTTACCCCTCGTCCAAATTTGGTAACTGAGTCACAAAAGTATGCAGAATCACGTGATTTTTGAGAAAAAAAGAGTCACATGTGGAGTGTTGTTTTGCAAAGAAACTCTACGTGCTGGTGGATTTTTTTGTGAAGATTTTGACAAGAAAGCATGAGAGAGACTTACAACTTATGTGGGGGAAAGACGATACATGTCTTCCCTAAGTGATCTTCTTTAAAGTCTCACTGTTCTTGCCACAAGATCGGTCTTTCACCTGTTTCAGTTGAATATGGCTGCCTTTAGCTGGTCCTTCGTACAAGCAACAAGTGCACAAAATACTGCTGTGCTTAAGCGTTGTCGGCCAAGAACCTCAGACACTGCTAGTTGTGCTTTTAGAAACGTTTCCGGGCCTGCATAACAGCTTGAAATAACTTTGTTTGATTTGCCTTGTGGCCCTTCAGTGGTAGCATTACAACTCGAATCCTTGATCAGTTTTCTAAGCCGCTGATGCATCACAGGATTACAATGCTGTTTAAATGGATTATTGCTCCTTCCTTAATGACGCAATTTTCCGTACTTTTGTGATTCAGTCCGCAAATTTAGATAAGCTGTAACCCAAATCTTCCTTGAGTGTGTGGAATTTAATAAGGTTTAAGACGATCAAAAAATTACTTGCATCGCTTTGCTTGCTTTTATTTTCTGTCATAAAACTTCGATCCAGAACAGTTTCGTCCAGTGTACTAACCTTAAACTTTTAATTAACCTGTGTTGCAAACTTTCCTCTTTCTTGGATGCACCAAAATTAAGGTATGAGTGAAAAATAGAGGAACCGAGAGTAGGGAACAATTCTGAGACAAAGTCCACTAAGTTTTCATGGTTGAGCTCAGTTGTAGACTGAAACATTGTCAATACATCAGTGGGTACTATATCTTTTGGCATTACATCGGCATCGCTTTCAAATTGGTTTAAAATTTAAAGATATACATCAACTGTTTGAAAAAGGAAACAATTCTTGTTTCTCTGAAGTATCAGAATTATTAGTCCAATCATTCACACAAATTGACCATGTCGTGCCAATCAGAAGGCCCTGTCGCGGACGAGGACCGGGATCTTGGCGGGATCCCGCCGCGAGCTCGGCGGGAATCTCTCCGGGATCCCGGCGAGAGCTTGGCCGCCGGGATTTTTACTCCCGGCTAGAATCCCGGCAAGATTCTCGCCGGGAAGCAAAAATTCCGGCGGCCAAAATCTCGCCGAGATCCTTCCGCGAATCTCGCCAAGACCCTCGCCTGGAAGCAAATTCCCGGCGGCCAAAATCTCGGCGCGATCTTGCCGGTTCATTGACAATTTTTCCTTGCTTGAAGTTTTTTTTTTGTTGTTTACAAGCGATTGTAGATCTCGATTACTTATGATAGTACATGCAAATTTATTCTTTGTATGTGAATTCGGCTTGCTTGTTAACTTCAGCGTTGGGGCTTTCTGCACTACAGTGACGCTAATGCTTTTACAGCTTTAATCTTGATGCATGCCTCTCTGAAAAAGCTGGTTGATCTGTTCTGAATATTACGAAAGTCACAACGTACTGAATTAAAAAACTGGATTTTTTTTTTGGACTGGTTACCAAACATAGCAAATGAAGTGTTCGACAGATTGGTATCTGCAACAATTTGAGAAAAGTAAGCAAGCAGAAGCTTTCTACCTAAATCAGGCATTGTTGTTTTAGACCTATACAAATGCAGACATCCACTCCTAAATATGTATCTACTAGACAATCGTATGAATGCGAATCCAATAAGGGATTTCCACACTGATATTTGAAAATTCTCTCAAAATTGTACGAGCCTTTAGGCGAGTGCAATTTGAACTGAGAATTTTCAAATATCACGAGTAGTGTAGATCCTTAATTGCTCCAGATTTCATACGATTACTCATTTATTATATGACTGAGAAAAACTGCGAACGCGCGCGCGTTAATTTGCACTGCAGTGCAAATTAAGAATTAACGATAAATTGACCTGCTCTCAGCCAATCATAATGAAGTAATTTTCTCAGTTATATGATAAAACCTATTAATCACACAGACTAGCATGCACATATCAGAATTTGTCTTCAGCATTTCTTACCTCGCACAGACGTTCTGTAGTTGTACAATTGTTTTTAATTTACCCTTCGAACATGACAGAGTTGCAGTCAGTCACCAAGGAGGTTATTACAACTGGAGAAATAAACAGGTTGGCTCTAAATATTTGTTGCAAAATATTACATTTGTTCTTTTTATTGTAAAAAATTGAAAGTAGTGATGGAAACAATTAAAGCTGCAATGCAAGATTGAAACAATGTCAACGAATAAAATAATATAAGCTATTTCATAAGAATGACATCGATTTGTCTTTTTCCCAATGGTTTTATTTTAATTTTACCGCAGATAATGCATCAGGGAAAGATTTCTTCACAGAAATTGTATCTAACATTTAAATCTACGTTGTGGCTTCTTCCTTTTACCAAAGATAAGAGCAAGTTTAATGCTTACGAGTCAACATTGATGTGCTAGAATCCATTATGAAAATAAAACAACGTAATTAAAAGACTTAAAACAGAAACACAAACGTAACTCGAACTCTAAAAATTTGGAGCTGGTTTCCATAAGCAAACTACATGACACTTTTGACAACTGAATAAAGAATAAGAAGAACATATAAACCTGTTATTAAAATATTTGCTAGTACACTAGGCATGTTTATTATAAAGATGGGTTTAAGACAAACAACAACAGTTGTTTTTCAAACAGACATAATAATAACGTAATGAATTAGTGAATACAGACTGTTTAAAGCCTGACCGATTACTGATACATGACCGGTTAAAATACATTAAAAAAAAGCTAGCTATTTTCTTCTCCATCCAGCTGCACTTGTTGTGTAATGAAGTCTATGGAAATGGGCTCCCGAGTGAAACTCTTTCTATCGCATTTTGCAAGTTCCTCTTTCAAATACACTTGATGGTTGTTTGTCTGTTTATATCGTTAGCGCTGAAGCTTTCCGCACTACACTTATACACTTACATCTTCAGCATTGAAGCTTTTGATCCGCACCCAGTACAGTGATTAACTATTGTTTTTGCTTAGTCTTGTATGTCTCTCTGAAACAGCCAGAACTGTGTTGAATATAACGAAAGCCAAAGCGTACTGAATTTAAAAAGGTGATTTATTTGAACAATTTAAGAGGCATAGCAAAGCAAGTGTTCGACGAATTGGTATCTGAAACAAACTGAGAAAAGCAAGCAAGCAAAAGCTTTCCACCTTTGCTTTTTTAGACCCACTGACATATGTAAACAAATACTGCTAAATATAACCTGTCAATCACAATTACATAGACTAGAATGCACATATTATAATTTTTTTCTCATAATTTTATTACCTTGTAGCCGGAAGTTCTGTCGTTGTGGAGTTGTTTTTTAATTTTCAGTGTTTAAAATGACAGTGTCAGTCACTCACCAAGGAGTTACAGTGAGTGTAGAAATAAACAGGTTGGCTCTAATCTTTTAAGTAAAATAACTAACACATTTGCTCTTGGTCAAAATTGTTCACCCATAAGAAATATTTGCTTTTTCGCATTGGGTTTATCGCTCTAATGCGTCATGAGAATATAAAATTCCGTAAACGAAAATTGTATCCTCTAATATTTTAATCTAGCTTCTAACTTTCTCCAAGGGCAGGAGCAGTCGTTTAGTGTTCACGAGTCGATCGGCATTGATGCGCTACAAACCATTATGGATTTCATCTTCAGTAATTAAATACACTTTTGACCAAAAAGAACGAAAAGAACATATAAACCTGTTATTTTTCCGTTTAAACATGTTTCATAAAGATTGGTTTAAGACAAACCCAAGGATTCCACAGTTGTTGTGCAAAAAAGCATGATAAGAAGCTAATGCTTTAGTGAATACCAACTGTTTAAAGCCTTCGGATCATTACCGATAACCGGAAAATACATTAAAAAAAACCAAAGCTAGCTAATGTTCTTCTCTGTCTAGATATTTTTGTCGTGTAATGAAGTCTGTGGAAATTGGCTACAAAATCTTTCTAGAGCATTTTGTAAGTTACTCTTTCAAATGCGCGTGATATAACTGCTTTTCTGTTTATGACTTCAGCGTTGAAGCTTACCGCACTACCTGAGTGAAGATATTGTTCTTGTTTAGTCTTGTATATCATGCTCACTGAAACAGCTTAAGAACTCTTTTGAATATAAATTAAGTCACAGTGTCCAGAATCAAAAAACAGGATTATTTTATTCGCCAGTCAACAATCATACGCTGTAGTAACTGAAGAATTCAACAAATTGAGAAACGCAAGCAAGCAAAAGCTTTCCAACGTTGTTGTTTCAGACCAGCTACATAAAAAGACAAACACTGCTAATATGACCTTTTAAGAATTACACAGACCACAATGCATATATCAGTTTTTTTTTTCGTAATTTTATACCTTGCAGAGAAGGTCTACGGTCATGCAATTGTTTTTTAACTCACTTGAAAACCAGCCAGTGTCAGTCAATCACCAAGGAGTTTAATACAACTGTAGAAATAAACAGGTTGGCTCAAATCTGATGTAACATCTACTAATGACATTTCCGCTTAGCCTAAATCAGTTGAAAATATCGTTGCAATGGCAGCAATGAAATCGAAAATTTAAACGTACTAAAGTTAACCCGTAACAAAGATGTGCTTTTTCGCGCTGGGTTTACCGGTATCGCAGTTGTGTCAAGAGAAACCTTTACAACTTGAGCCAGGCAAAAAGGCAATACTGATAATTTAACTACCAATTTATTGCTAAACTTAGTGGTCGCTAGTAAATACTGATTACTAATGAATAGCAAATAATCCCTGTTTAAGCAAGTACCATAAACTACGATAAAGAACTCGATTGTAAATCACAACACCAGATCATTTGTCTTCAATCTATAATTAATCTAAGAATCAAGTATCTGCAAGATTATGTTACGTTGTTCTTGATCAACGTTTGCGAAAAGTAGAAACAGACGAGATTTCACATTCCACGACTTCCGCTTTAACTTCTTCGAATGCGTATGTGTCTCGTTGTAAAAATCTTGCGACTAAACTGCTCGTTATGAATGATAGTTAGCTCATAAATTATTGGACATTGAATTAAAATATTCTCAGCAATTAAGCAACTGTGGAAATGAGTAAGGTTTTCCCGTCTATCGTGTTACTTTATCTCGAGGTCTCATTGTTTTCTCTAAATGTTAAGGTACGCAACTGGCCTTCCCTCTGAAAAACTATTGCTTTCTTCGACAGTTAAAGGCAATAGGAGAAATAGTTAACTTTCAAAAGAGTGAAAACAAACTCGCACTTAAACTTAAATGCAGCTAAAATTCTGCACAAGACAAGAGGCGGAAGTAAGCGAAAACAACCCTCGTCCGACCAAGTTAACCTGTTTCATTGAAGTTACAAAGACTCAAGGAACTTCAAGTAATTCACTGCTGACATTATCTTACCAGCTCTCCTTTTTCTCAGTGCAACTGGTCGTCTTATAGCGAACTAGTAGTAGAGATAAGAACATTCCTCAGTATGTTGAATTGTTCAGCAGACTAAACACTTCAAACGTAAGCACCTCATCTATGTAAAGTGGATTATCCCATTCTCGTCTCCAGTCCTACTCGTCTTAAAATAGAAACGGTTTCTCTAGGTAGGGATTGAACGGACAAACTCAAATACAGTGGAACCTCGTTAATACTGTCACCAACAGGCCATGACAATTTGGCCATATTAACTGGGTGGCCGTATTATTGGTCTAGATTGAGTGACGCAGGTATAACACAATTGCACTTCTAAGCAACTGTTCCTTAATAAGCATCCGGAATATGGATATGGTTAAAAAAAATTGAAACTTTAATCTGTGTATGAAATATTGACAGTGGAAAGATGAACAAAACTAGTTTGAGTGGCCGTATAAACGGGGTTAAATTATTGTACAGGTTGAGATTTCAGAATGTGACCATGGTTTTCTAATGAAGAAATGTATGGGCGTTTCTCCGGGACAAAACAAAATGGCCGTAATAACGAGCTAGGTGAACGTAAGGCGGGGTTTCATTAAACAAGGAGCAAGTTCAAATAAAGCGGCACCAAACAATAGTTCGTAGGGCGAGATTGTACCTAAAGAATTCTTGCGTTAAATGTTTCTCTAGTTGGTGGACTTCTTTACAAACGTCATTTAGTAGCCAAAGCAAACACAAAGCTTTGACTATTTCAACTTACAGTTATCCTTCAGGTGACTGTCGATATAAACGCAAATGATGTTTCTCCATATAAGGTACCTTTTAAAAGGAAGCGTGATCTCTTAGTCGGGGTGGATGACGACGGGGGGAGGCGCTGGGGAAGGTTTGTTGCTTTTAACGAAGCCAGTGTATTCACAATGAGATTTTGGGTCGATGCTTTAGTTATTTGTTATCGAGAGTTTATCATCTTTTCCTGGGAAAAATAATGTTGCATTTAGAGAGAGCCAGTGACTTCACACTCTGAGTTTGCTCCAGTGTATTCTTTGTTATCAAGGTACAGTGGTCTTTCCTTGGGGGGAGTGGGGTAAGATGTTACATTTTATGGAGTCAATGATTTTCATAACCAGAGTTTTTGTCGGTGTTTCCTTTGTTGCTGGGGCGTTTACAACAGATGGGGGGAGACAGCAACTGAACATGCTATTCTCACTCGTTTTCGGGAGTAAATTTTTGGGTGGCATCTTTCTTGTTCACGACTGCATTGGTTTGGTTGCTAAATGAAAGCTGGTTCAAACATTGTCATAAGTGCATTTTCAGGTTTCAGGAGGTGACATCTGACTTCGTGATTCCCACAATCACAAAGTTGTTTTTCATAGGCAGCCTTCTTTCCGTTTACTTTTTCCCCTTTCGTCTTTGTTAATGACAAGTACTTGGCCCCTCCTACAATGTTGCATAATCTGCACCACAACTGAAACCCTTTGATTAACAGTTAGATTATGAGCTCGAGATTTCTATGAGGTAATAGTTGATGAGGCCGGAGGCCGAATCAACTATCACCTCATAGAAATCGAGAGCGATTTTAGTAGAATTCTAACTGAAATTTCCTTCAAGTGACGATTTCATTTACTTCTGGTCTTAGTATTAAACTTCATGCTTTAGAGAATTTGCGCGGACTGAAATAATTGTCAATTTGACATTTGCAGTTGCGTACACGCGCTTATCAATTTCTTTAACAAATTTCGAGCTTTTTTAATTCAAGAAACCGCAAATGCTCTCCTTTTAGTCTTCTCAGGAATTTTGTTTATTCATTTGTTTTAATTGTTCTTTCGAAACTTCGGAGAAACGAGGAGACATTGGTATTTTGTCGACCACACCAAGCCACTGCACACCAGTGGCTGATAGTGTGCAATGGCTCAGCCAATCAGATTACAACAATTGCGTTAGTATACTAGTAGAATTCTACTAACAGAGTACTATAGATTGCTTACGCAACCTCCGGGTTGAAAAAGTTGGGCTTTTCGACGCGCCTAACACCCCCACCCAAATGTTCGTGGAACACCCCCTTCGGCAGATGGTAAAACACCGTTACAACCAGCTGGGAACAGGTTGAAAAGTTTTGGCAGAGCTATGTAATTCTTCATTCTTGTAGCTCTCTCCAGGAAGTTAGCTATGAGAAGAACTCTCGCGTGTTTAGTCCTCGCGCGCTAACATAGTGGAGTTGTTTTACATGTGTTAAAATGCCTAATTGCTGACTTATTAACTACCCCTAAATTTCCGGCCAGAAGATAGGAACAGGGAGGCCCGATCCGGTTACAACAGTCTACAAGTAAAATATCAATCCCTGAAGGTATAAATGAAAGGACAATCGAACCTCCCGTAAGCGATCACCCAAAATTTCAAGGGTAGTTGATCGCTTACGGGAGGTGGTCGCCCGGTGGGAGAGGGGCACTTCCTTATATGGGCTATATAGGTATGTGCGGCCCCAAAGGGTAGGGTTTTTCGGCCGTTTTGGTTATAAATAGGGTATCGATTTTGGCCATTTTGGTTATAAATAGGGTATGGTTTTAGCACTCTAGTCTTGAAT